CTTCTGGCGAGGTGGTTGGTCAAATCTCAGATTTGGCAGAGCCTTTGCGCAGAGGCAATGTGGGGGTCGTGCTAGTCGTCGTGGCTTGTGCGGACGATGCGAGACAATCCCTGTCGTTCGGAGTGACACCCCTGTCCCCAATCAGAAGACGGGAGCAGCGGCGGCCGGTGGGGATTATGACATAGCCATTTGAGATTGCAAATGCAGTATCGTAAATATTGTTGCGCATACGGAGTACTATGTAGAGAGAGAGGGAGAGAACAAGAAGACGAACATATGGTGCGCCATGCATCAAGTACCTACATGCACTGTAAACAGAGAGCACACTCGCATGTGGATGCCAGATAGGCGAAAAGATGGTGCACGCAATCCAATCCACCCCCCTTGCAAGCAACGCCAATGGCACGGGCTGACCAAAACACCATGGATATCGCGAGTCTCGTGGATAGATCATGTCTCGCCCATCTCTCTTGTCGCGCTCTCTTTTTTTTCTTTTATCGGGTTTGGCGCAGGGCCCGTGACGGACATGTCATTCGGGAGAGCTTGTGGGGCGAGCGAAACGACCTGATCCCTACCAGCGCTAAGTTTAGCGACCAAAAAAGCGGGGCCTCCAATTTCAGGACCCGCCACACTTCATCTCAAAGAGGCGCGTCTTGCATGTCCTTGCAGCCCGTTCGAGTGCGAGTGGGTGGGAAAAAGGGCCGCGAGGCTACAACTAGCCTCACACTGGAGTTGTTAATCCCAGCTCAGCGATCGGACTGCAAGTGTGTGATACATATCTGGGAAGCTACGAGGGAGATTCTGGCGAGGGAACAAAACCGACTCGACTCTGGTGATTTTAGCTGGAAGGTACGAGGCAGGAACACGCCCGGCCCGGCGCGGAGCATTTTCGACTGCCCTTTCTCTCCGGCAAGGTACCAGACGCCGTGCCGGGACGATGTACCAAGTACATGTACCGCTGCAAAGCTTCGTTTGTTCATTTCCATCCCGTGCTGCCCCTCGTGCGCAATATGGCGCAAAACCCCACTGGTGCAGGTAGGAGGCACCAAGATCTTCATCAAGTATCCGATACCTCAGCCGCCTGCTGGGCGCTGTACTCCGTACTCATACCGCAACTTGGAAGATGCTGTACAGAATCATGGAATTCACCTGAGCAGCATCATACGTTGGAGTTTTTCCCCATCACCAAGCAAGCGCCATGACGTCTTTTCTTCCTTTGTTTCCTCTTGTGGCTATAGCGGTTTATGTTTATGCCGCAGGTGGATTTTTGGATCGTTTGCTGACTCCATTCGTCGTCTAAGCTCAGCAGTGCGATTCGTGCCGTGATTCGCCATGGCCTCTCATCAATCAGCTGAGAACAGAGGTCATGATGCCTCGTTTCTCGTCAGAGAGGGATGATGTCAACCGGGCCATGCCATCCACTTGCAACCAGGAGCCGTCATTCATGCAGCCATTTACCGCTTTGGCCATCATCAACATCCCACAAGGCTAACACGATGGCATGATGATCCGAGATCCAGAGAGTAAGCACGTACGAGTACCGACGTCGCTGCGGAGTCGCTCCAAGGCATGATTAACATCAAGATGGAAAGGTGAAAGAGACGGCGCGTCAACCACTGTAACTGCCACTAATAACAGCCCCCAAAGCGGGAGAAACAGATCCATCCATTGCTAATTACAGTACAGTAGAGCGAGCAGTACTACGTACGAGTACTGCTACCTGTACTTGGAATTTTCGGAATCTGCTTGGACGGAGCTCTAAATTGTTTAGAATCATGCAAGTATGAACCCTGTCATCGGGGGGTCACGCCATGACGGATGCTACCTAGTCCTCCGTACGGGGTACAACATCACCGTTGGCTCCAGCTGAGGTGTCGCCGTGGTAACTTGGCATCAAAAATCATTTCTGGCAGACAATGCTCTCCAACCCAGGCACAGGTTCCGCACATTGTGCGAGTAGCGTCCCCGGCTGCGGGCGAGGCCACCCAAAAATCGATTCATGATATGGCTGACAGGGGATGGCCGATTGGAGCCTTTTCGGCGAGCGCATTCCGAGCAGTGCCAGTCGCATCTCGGATTGGTGGCTGCATCCAAGTCCAGCCACGCACGCGCTCCTCCTTTTGGCCCTCAGCTGCGAAATTACATGTGGTGTTGACCGGGCAGCCAGTCAACGGCGGCGCTGTCTGAGACCAGCTGGGCAATGTCTCGCAGCCACCAGTCCCATGACAGGACGGCACATGTATCTGGAACCTCGTCCAAGACACCCAAGACACCCATCGGCGCCTGTGAGTAAGGAGTGGCTCTCAGCGATCTCGAGCCTAAAATGGCCGTGGAAGGGCGCCGTCCAATCAGCACCAGCGCCGGCCGGATCTGGATTGCTGGTGGTGCGTGAGAGAGCAAGGAGCAGCAAATATTAGGCTGGGCTGGGCTTCAAATGAGACCGCTGCGGGCTGGGGTTGCTTGTTGCTGTCAGCCGCAGACGGGTCGTGTGCCTCTCTTTCTGTCGCCTTCAACTCCCTGCTCAGTTGGGCCGGACTATGATACATCCATCTGGCAATTCAACGCCATAAGAAGAAGAAGAAAAAGAAGAAAAATCGAGCTCGCCGCCCGCCGCATCAACAGCACCAGCAAACGCTTGGCGATGGACAGACGGCCTCGCCTCTCTCAATTGGCGTGCGGACTTTGAAACGAGCCCATCACTTCGTCACTCCGCCGTGTTTTACGTAGCCAAACTCGTCATTTACGGGTTGCGCCTTGCTGCAGCTTCCAGGGATCCATCCCTGCTCGCGCCAAAAAAGAAAAAAAGAACCCCCACATGATGATGGATGGACCCTCCTCCAAGTCAACATCACCAATCTGAGCAGTGATTGGACCCCGAACATGATGTTCCCTTTGCGCGCTGCGTTGGCTGCATGCCGGCTTGTTCTACATTCTACGTACGAGTACAGCGAAGACTGGACGCTGCTTCTCAACCCCGTGTCTTGGAGTCGTCGATAATGTCTTGAGCCGGACTCATTTTAGCTTATCGCTCACTCTCGCTATTTTTGCCAGTTTCCCCTCTTTCTCTCTTCCCTTTGGCTTCTGATTTTTTTTCCCCTTCTCCCTCTCTAGCGTGCAACTATTTTTCTTTATCAGGCTGAGCGCGAGAGAGGCAGAGCGAAAGAAGAGACTCTCTCCGCAGGACCCTGTCATTGGGCTCCATAGATTAGCGCCACAGCCGGGATAGTAGCGAGTACATACGAGCGCCAGAGCTCCATAGCCCGGCCGTGGGCAGACGGCGAAAAGATAAGGCATTTTATTTTCTCTTGGCCTCGGAGGCGAAAAGACGAAAAGACGAAAAGACGTGAGAGACACAACCACGATGCCGTGCAGACGGAGAGAGTCAAGTCAACGCCAGACTCTCCCTTGACTCGGCGCCGTTACTGCGTTAGTGTGCTCTCGTACCTGTACATGTAGTGTTTAGGGGCTCCAAGCAGGGAGAACGGCGATGGATTGGACGTGCTGCCGCAAACCACTCAACGGGCCTGCGAGTGCTGGAGGGGCCGCCACTGATTGGCTCCAGGCCTGGGGTGCACGCACTCGCCTGTGAGCGCGGCAAGAGGCGATGAAGTACCGGGTACATTGTGCTTTGACGGCCCACCCCCCCAGCCCAGCGAGATGACCTGTGACCCTCCCCAATCAGCAGGCATCAGAAGGCCCTGTCGCTAGGCCCACCGCTGGCAGGCGCTTTGTTATTAGAGACCTCGATCCCAAGACCCCTCCATTCCTGCCTCTGGACCCTTTCCCTCGTCTGCTCAACGCCGAACCTGCGCGACTACAGACGGGCTGCAAGGCTTTGCAAGAGGCAAACGCTCTCTGAGAAGTCAGAAGCCTCGCCATCATCAAGCCTGGAGTATCTGCCGGCAGATTTCGGCTTACGACTTTGTCCTTTGCTTCCTTCGTTGTCGGACCTGGTCGCCTGGTGGTCTTGTTTTGCATTATTTTATTCTATTTGATTCTTTTTATATTCTTTTTCTGCGCATGACGAGGTGAGTCACGGCGTGCTGCTTTTGCTTTTGCTTTTCTGCTTCGTTGCCATCAGCTACCACTCCTCTCCTTGCTTGCTCGCTTGCCTTGCCTTGCTTGCCTCGCCTGCCTGCTCTTTGACCATGTTTCGCTCGGCCTATCTGTCTGCCTGCTGCGGCGAACGAGAACAAGAACAAGAACAAGAAACGAGAAAGAAAATACCTTCGTCGCGGCCATCCTCTCCCTCAGACAACTCCCCAACCCAACGCTGCCTCCTCTGCTACTACTGTCCAACCACCACCACCTGCCTCGTACAAGCCCTCACATCTTTTGCCCTTCGCGTACGACTGCCCCCTTGGCACCTCTTGGCTGCCATCCTCCTGTGCTTCGTTGCAGCCAGTTAGCAGTAACCGTGGCGATACTACTTTGATGTCCTGGTGTCTTCTTTCGGGTGCTTCGTTCCTCTCCTGTCCTCCGTGGCCGCTGGAAGCTTAGTGAGGCCTCTCTGCGTTCGAGGGCTTGGTCAAGGGAACGGGCGTGATATTAAGTTGATCGCCTCATCCGCTAACCTGCCTGATTACCAATTGCCAGTTTGTTCATGTTTCTGTGAAATGGTTCAACTTGGCATCCGTTCAGTCCCCCCCCTCTCCCCCCTCAGCAGTGCTACATCCCAGACGTACGCACGTTTCCTTTCCTCCATCCATTTAAACCCCTACTCTCACTTTTTTTCTTCTTCCAAACTCGCATTGTACTAGCTGATGGCAACCGTTTTCGCTTCTCTGTCGCTAACCAATGGATACAGAGTGTGGCGTAAAGTTGCACCACTAGAGCATTAGGTTTTCCGAGTCGAACGTTGGAGATTCAATAGAGTTGCTTTCCTCCAACTCGACGGTTGACGACGCTCTTCTGCCGCTCCTTTCACTTCTACCCCGAAATATATAATACGATACTCTCTTCTTACCCCCGATGTTCATATGACCCTGAATACCACAGCAATGGATTCAGAAGACGGAAGCTTATTTATTAAGGTATATACGCTTCCGCTACAATTTGCACTGCTGCCGGGATATGGGCGTGCTAACTTCCAACAGCAACTTGCTGCCTTTGTGCGCACTCACGAAAAGGCTCTTGCCAACGCCTTGCAGCTTCAGCGCCGCGATGTGCGTCACCGAGCCACGCAGAGCACGAGCTCTGCCACGATTCCGCAGACTCCGACCTTTCCTGAGCGTCCCTCAACCGCAATCTCCAACACCAGCTCCTTCGCCAACGCTCTATCTCTCGGGCCGCTCAACTTTGCCTCTCACAGCGTAAAGTCGGCAAAGCTCGCTCTCACTCCCCACCACCTGTTCTATCTCCTCTCTCGCTTCGAAGAATTGGGTATCAATGTGGGGCCCATGAAGGTTCGCTTGGAGGATCTCCACGACAGCTCATCGTCTGCAAATTACGTGTCATTTCTGAGCAACACCCAGCGGTCTAGAAGCCACAGCTCAGATGTTGGCTCCATACACTCCGTCTCCAGCATCCGGAGCGTCATGTCTGGCATGTCTGCATTGTGGGCCAGCTTCGGCATCGGCGCCAGCATTTCTGCTGCCCGGACGGAGCGTCAAAAGGCCGCTCTCGAAGCGGACATGAAGTACCTGTATTCTGCCTTCACCAAGATCCCCTGTCTTCGCTTAGCCCCCGATTGGCGAGCTCGACTCATCAAGGGATACGAAGAGTTCCCCTTTGACTCTGCGGTTCCCCTCTACGTTTTCAAGAATGTCCAGGCATTGGAAGTGAGCAACATTGACTTTCGTCAATTTTTTGGCTGGGATCGCATGGCCGACCAGCTCCGCTCGCTTACCCTCAAGCATGCTGGCATCGAGGACCCCGCTGATATTTTGATTGACATTGTCCTGGACGACATGGACAAGAGGCGCCGCAGAACGTCCAAGTCACAGTCTTCGCCCTCAATACCTTGGAGCGGGAGCCACAGCCCCCGCAAGAGCCCAACCATGTCGGGTCGTGAATTTTCCCGATCAGTATCGATCCCTGGCTCTCCCGATCCACGGGGCTCTCTGGGCGAACTTCGCGTCGGCTCGATGGCTCCCAGCGAGGGTGCCGTCGAGGACGGTAACACGTCCGATGGCTCGGCCCGTACTCTGCGAAGGCAATCCACGGACGACCTGTCGCGCTCTGTAAACAAGGACTCCCGACCGAGGAGCAATTCTCCGTCACGCCCATCAAGCTCTCGTAATCACACCAACCACGCCCGATCTCACCAGCAGAGGATGCGGCGTTCTGGATCTGGGAGCTCCAACTCTAGCCTGTCCGACTCTTGGTACCATCACCACTCCAGAGGTAGCTCTGCGAACCTCTTGGGAAACACCGTCCTACCTTCGTCCAAGTGGCGCTTCCTGAGGCATCTCAGTCTAGCAGATAACCCCATGACGTCGATTCCCGCATCAAGCTTGGCTCCTCTCTCCAATACCCTTTTCTCCCTCGACCTATCGTCCAATCTCTTCAGCCAAATCCCGGACAGCCTTTCCACCCTTACCGCTCTCCGCGCCCTGAACCTGTCGCACTGCATGATTGACTCTCTGCACTCCCTGACCCGAAACCCCCTCCCAGCCATTACTGCTCTCAATCTGCGAGCCAATAGACTGCAATCTCTCGCCGGAATCGAGAAGCTGTATCCCTTGGAAAGGCTGGACCTTAGAGACAACCGCCTTACAGACCCCAAGGAACTTGCACGCTTGACTGGAATTCCCGAGATTCGTGAAATCTGGGTCGAGGGCAACCCCTTTACCCGCACTCACAAGGATTACCGTGTGGCCATATTCAACCTGTTTCGCATGACGCCAGGGTACACCGAGGACGTTGTCATCGATGGCTCAGGCCCCAGCTCCTCTGAAAAGCGTATCCTGGTCGACAGAGTCCCGATTCCCGAGTCTGTCCCAGTGGTGAAGCCGATCGTGACCGAGATGCGAGGCGTCGACGTAAGCAAGCCCACCGTCGTCTATAGTGCTGTCAAGGAGGCGGCCGTCCTGCGCAAGGAGAGGCCAGTGCCAAAGGCCGTCGCCAGCGAAACCAACACGAGTTCGACACGGCGCCGGAGGAACCCCAAACGACGCATCGTCGACCTTTCGACCAGTGACAAAAACCCAATGCCCTCACCAGTTGATGTGCATAGCCCAAGGTTCCCCGTCAATTCCCCAATGGTTGCCGGCTCAGCGGATGGGAACTATAGAATCTCCCATGTATCCAACAGTCAGCCGTCGACCCCCATCACATATCCAAAAGCCCACGAATTTGGAAGCGGCACCTTTTCTTTAGAGAACGCACATGCCAACGGTCCCTCATATGCCGACAATGTTTTTCACACGAGCGATATCCAGCATCAGGATTGGGACGCCAGCGGCGAGCTCTATCGTCGCAAAATAGAGGCCCTGCGTGATAAGGTCGGCGAAGGCTATCTGAGCGTGCTGAGCGAGGAGAGCTGGGATGCCAACAATGTCTATGGCTCACCAAACATCCCTACCACCACCGCTGCGCTGCTGGCGGCCCATCCCGCCCATCACGCTCCTCCCATGCAAGCCGTCCATGGAGGCCACTCATAATACCCGCGTGCGTGTTCCGAGTTCAAGTCTAGCGCCCTTGACTATATACACATTTCACTCAATGATACCCCCCCGATACCCTTTCTACGTCTTTATACAAACTTGCCCACTCAACCCACTGGTGCAGCCCTACATCCTTTGCTTCTCTCACAGCTAGTTTACAAGAGCTAAGCTACCTTTCTGCTTCATCTTGTCTATTTATCTATTTATTTTACCCTGTTCTTTCCCACACCACAGGGCTTGGTTGGTACCGTGTTTTGTCTTTTCTTTACGGAGCATAGCGGATGTGGCGTCACGGCTAGGAACGAAAGATTGCTGTCATTGCCAGGGTTTTATTTTAAGCCCTTTGTCTTTTGAATTTTCGTCTTGTCTGTCTGGTTTCATGGATGGTTCTCTCAAATGATTGTTCAGAGGTTGGGAGGGGATAAAAAAAGTGGCTTATCACGTATGAACGCTGCATGAAAATTTCTGTTTTTGGCATGACTTTTTCTTTCTTTCTTTGTTTTCTTGTCTTTGCCGAGAGCAACCAGTGGCATAAGCTGGGTCTACGACCTCTTTTTTCTGTTTGGCTTGGAAACGGCGTTATGATGAGGGGGAGCCGACACTTGTGTTACGCGCTCCCCCCAGTAGCTTCGGGTCGGCACTCCATTTGCTTTGAAAGACATGCTCGAGTTTGAGCGTCGCAAGCGTCGAGATGGTTTTGTAACAACCCAGGAATATGAGTAGTAACACTGATGAGCTGTTGACGGAAGAATGATAAAGCATGCGAGTTTTCACGTTGCACCACTGCAGTCCCTCAATATTTTGTGACGATGCTTGTTCTTATTTCACATGTCAATGTCCATGTCAGCCTACATGTATGTGTCTTGGCTACATGATGTGCTAAAGTATGTGTAGGCAGTATGATGCAATTCATGTACGTAAGCCCACACTATACTACCTAGGTAAGTAGACACTGCAGATACTAAGGCATGTGCAATACAGTCTGCTAAGAGATTGTGTCCCAAGCTTAGCCTACCAAATCTGTGACGGAAAAACTACCCCTTGCTCTCTGTAGGTATGCAATGACTTTTTGAATTTGCCCGACCAACAAGCGGCTGCATGTAATATAGATGTGTCATTGGCAGAGGTGGAAGCAGCACTCGCTCTCCGATTTGCCATGTGATGGCCGTCATCATTGTGCCTTGGCAATCAGGGGTCTTGACTGAATTTCGGCGCGTTTTTTTTCTCTCCGAGCTCATAACGAAACTGCCACGGCGCTACCTACTTGGGGACTGATGAATTGATTGATGTCCTGCAGTCACAAAACAGCAACTTGAAGCCAATTGTGTCTTTTTCATTTTTTCCCGACTTCTTTTTCCTTTAACCGTCTTGGTCATCTTGTGCTTGTACGTTGATTCACAAGTTCATGTCTATGCTCTCCATATGTGGCAGCATGGTCGAACCACGCGGATATAGCAAGAGCCATGTTTGATTGCCAACCAAATGCCTTGGTTATGTCGCATCCAGACCCATCTACACACTTATCTAGGAACGGCAGCCCTGTTCCAAATGCAGACTCGACGGCCCAGTTCCGAGCACAAGCCAAGCCACTGATCCCCGACGACGCGCAGAAGACAGACCAGGTTTGGGGGCGCCGGGGCTTATGGAGGAGCGGGGACTGCCGTTTTCTTCTGTCAATCTAAATCGGCGGTGCCTGGATCGATGGCGGCCACGCATCAAAAACTCCCGATCTATACTGTACTAGCAGCGCTTCTGACGGGGCGAGGTGTGATTGGCGAGGCCGACCCGGGAATCCGCCCTCTGCCCCGGGCGCCTGGGACAAGGCCGATTGCCGCCGGTTTTTTTTTTTTAGAGTGCTTGCGGTATTGGATTGAGAGGTGGGGGAACTGATGGGGCAAATACGAGGATGGGAGAAGAACAAAATATGTTTGAATAGAGAAGCGGGAGTAACTTGCACAGTGGTGATGGGACCGGGGCTTGTAGCGCATCACATAGATTTTTTTATCATCCATAGTCACACAAACCATAGGATATGATCTTTAACCATTGTCCGAACTATATGGGAGCATGAAGCGGGTTTCTTCGTTGGGAACCGTATAGATTGGTGGTATGAGTCGCGTTTTATACTGCGTGTCGTGGATTGATGCTGCCATGCGACCTGATTGAAGAGCATATGCAAGTAATCTGGCCACTCTCTTGTTGTCGCATTTCGTTTCTTTTTGGGGGGATGAAGTTACAGCAGGAGAAGGAGAAATAAATATCCCCAGCCACTCACCCTTTGTCTCGTCTACCCGCTTGTCCATTTTTTGCCGCCATTTTATTTCCATGTTCCATTTGGTGATTTTTTACAGTTCAAGTAGTGCATTGATCTCGGCCGGTTTAGCGCATGGCTTCCCCAGGCACGCCGCTAGCCCGAAACGCACAAGGGCCGCTCATCTGACTAAAGCAGAGCCGTCTGGTTCGAGATTCCGCAGGTGGTCCGTGCGCACGCCTTCACGCGTTGTCTGTTTTTCGCTCGCCCCCGAAATCAAGAGCCGCCAGCCGACGTCACGTCGTCCCCTGATGCTGCCATCGTCCATCGACTGCTCGCCAACGAGGGCCTGTTTGCCTTGCCTATGAACCCTGGCGCTTCAGCTGCTGCTTCGGGGCCTTCAGAAGCCCCTCGATCCCCTCGATCCGCTGCCTCGTCTCTCGCGCGCGCCGTCCACCTGAAGCTCCAGCCTCGCCTCGACCTCCCTCCCCCATCGCCAGCGTCGCCTTGCGCCCTGCCCTGAGCTGCTGGGCCTTGCTGCCGTGAATCGCTGCCCTCTGCTGGGCACCATGGCTCCGGCCTCTCCAACTCCTCGTCGAACACCCACGGGACGGCGCAGAGGGCGTCCGCCCGGCACCACCAACGCTGCGCGTGCCGCCAGACAGGCCTCGCTTGCCGCCGCTGCGGTCTCGGAACCGCCTCCCAAGAAGCGGCGTCGCTACGTCCCCGGAGGCCCCGGTGGTGGTGGCCGATATCTTGACGCCGACGCCATCGACACGCCCGACACGGCCCGCACCACGACAGCCTCGCGATCTAGAACCTCGGGCTCCCGAATGGCCCTCAACGGCGCTTCCCCCTCTTTGCCCCCGCGGCGAGAGCGGAGCACACGAGCCAGAACTGCTGCCAACGAAGACAGCGACGAGATGCGATGGGGATCTGCCGCCGCCATGGCTGCGTCCGTGAAGCAGGCCGAAGACTACAAGCCTCGGGAGGAGCGCAGCTGGGAAGAGTTCCATCCAAACCTTGATATCGACCTCCCCTTTGTCATCTTTCCTGCCGACGATGTCGACGGAGTCGTCCTGCAAGAGGCCCCAAATACCCCCGCCATAGATGCGCCGCCCCCTACCACACCACACTTGGAGTCCATGACGCCGTCCAAATCAGTCAACCCCGCCTCGACGGGCAATACACCAAATCCTCAGGCAGCGCGTGGCCCAGAGGCCGACGCCGACGACTCAGCTGCCGGCACTCCCTCATCAAGACGCCCTCGCCGATCCACCCGCGAAGTCGTCAGCTTTTATAACATCCGACCACTTGACTTTGCTCCTACTCCAAGAACCCCCAAGATCCTCCCCATATCGAACCAGACGCCAAAGGAGCGGCTCGACCTAAAACAACCCCAATATAGAAAGACTAACCGCATCGAACTGTTTGAGAGCAAGACTTTTGGCCAGGCACGCTATGTTGACAAGGCCATGAGTAATGTTGGATACCAGGAGAGCGATAACTTTATTCGATCTGAACGCACGTTGATCAAGGCCATTGACGGCAATGCAGACGATGAGTTTGAACAGTTTTCGGTGGCTGCAGGCGACGACCACGTGCACCAGTCTAGACTTGGCCGTGTTGAGTACGACATGGATGAGCAAGACGACATGTGGCTTGAGCAATACAACGCCCAGCGCAAGCAAAACGAGCTAGAGGCCATCACGCGCGAGGTCTTTGAAATCACAATGACCAAGATCGAAAAGGAATGGCATGCTTTGGAACGAAGAATACCAAAGCCAAACCCAAAGCCGCCTCAGACGCACAGGCCGCGGTCTAGCTCGGCTGTGGCTGTTAACGGCGAGACTCACGGCGGCGAGGAACCTGACAGCAAGTGCGCCATCTGCGACGATGGAGATTGCGAAAACACAAATGCTATTGTCTTCTGCGACGGCTGCAACCTTGCGGTTCACCAAGAATGCTACGGTGTGCCTTTTATTCCGGAAGGTCAGTGGCTTTGCCGGAAATGCCAGCTATGCGGTCGCGGAATACCAGTAAGACTCCTTCTCTTCTCTTTTTCATCTTTGCTTTTCTTTTTTAGCGTTCAACCTCTGACTCGATTTTCTCTCTTAGACTTGCATATTTTGCCCCAACACAGATGGTGCATTCAAGCAAACCAACTCGTCCAAATGGGCCCATCTACTCTGCGCCATGTGGATTCCTGAAGTCTCCCTGGGAAACCATACATTTATGGAGCCTGTCATGGACGTGGAAAAGGTCCCTAAAACTAGGTGGAAGTTGACTTGCTATATCTGCCGTCAGAGAATGGGCGCCTGCATCCAGTGCGGCAACAAGAATTGCTACCAGGCCTTCCACGTTACCTGTGCCAGGAGAGCACGGCTATTTCTCAAGATGAAGACTGTCCAGGGCACTCTTGCTGTTTTAGACGGCAGCATGGTCCTCAAGGCATTTTGCGATAAGCATTGTCCGCCGGATCATGCTCAAGAAAATCAGGTCCACCAGGCTACGCGAGCAGCCAAAAAGTTCTATAAGAGGAACATGCGTGGGCGTATCTGGGCAGACAATCAAGCCATGGCAAACGTCATCGCAGCGCAGCACCGCACTGCCATTACGGATCACCCACCTGATGAGAGCCAGATGACAGGGGCTAAGAACCTGGCCATCCTGGGCGATAAGAAGAAAGGACAGCCTCCCAAAAACCTCTGGAAGCTGCCATCTGGAGCACCCATCATTCCTCAAGTCGTCTTCGACATCGTCGAGGCATCCATCCAACGGTTCACGTTTAGGAAGCGCAAAGACTTCCTCAGTGAAGCTTGCCGCTATTGGACCCTGAAGAGGGAGGCACGTAGGGGTGCCGCGCTCCTCAAGCGCTTGCAGCTGCAGATGGAGTCGTTCTCTTCCATGGAGCTTACTAGGCGCAACTTTGCCGCCATGGGCCCCAGTGGCAAGGCAAGACTGGCTCGCCGCATCGAGTTTGCTCAAGGCGTTATTCACGAGCTCGAACAGCTCAAGGTTCTTGCCGAGGACATTGTGCAGCGTGAGAAGCTTAAGCTGGATGCTGCCGAGCTCGAGCAGGACTTTGTAGATGAGTGCTACTTTCCCACGGCCAAGCTGTTGGTTCCTGTTGTTGAAAAGGCTATTTCGTAAGTTTTCCTTCTTTTCCTTTTCTATTTTTTTCAAACTGTACTATACGATATGATGAAGACTTTGGTATATGTTTTACTAACATATTGTTGATAGGCTGGATAAGGGTCTCTTCACAGATGGCTTGACCGATTTGCAGGCAAGCATCGAGAAGCGAGTATATGTCAACACGCTGAGCTTTGCACAAGACCTCGGCGATATTATTAGCAAGGGAATCTTGACCCCTCCTGAGCGTTCGGAGTCTATTCAACGTGAAGCAGAGGAGGAGGAAGCAGACAACAATAGCACCAACAACTCCATTGTAATATCAACGTTTTCAGACATACGAGAGCGACGGAAGCTCGGAAAGCGCATTCTTAAGGCCGTACAGCCGCTGCTTGAAATGTCGCTGCAAGTCGAAGCCGAAATATCTACAAAGCCGTCTGAAGCACTGCAAAGAGAGCTGGAAACCCTTATTGATGCCAGCATCGAAGTAGGGCGACAGCCCAATGCAGCGGCGCACAATGAGCCGGGTGCAGCGGCCGAAGACACCATTATGCTCGATGCTCCCGAGCCACCGTCCGAAGTCCACCCTACCATCAAGAGCGAGCCTCTTGCTGGTGGAAGTGGCATTGTTGACGGCGGTGACGTAATGGACACTGCTGAGAATGATGAAGATGAAGAAGATGAAGATGAAGATGAAGACGACGACGACGATGAGAACGGTCGCCATGAGGAGGAGGAAGGTGACAGCATCGAGGTTAATACCGTCGGGCTGGGCATCATGACCGGCCGTCCCTCAGGGGGTCTTGGTATAACGACAGAGATGAACATCAAATCGGCGAGAGTCAACTCTGCCATCACATCCGAAACTCCTCCCAACAGCACGAGCAGCTACGTCGTCATGACTCGTCCATCACAAGATGGGCCACCAACACCACCGCAGAGTAATGGAAGCCTGGGTAATGAGCCAGCCGACCCTCTCTCGGAAGGAGGCGTCCTTTGGTACCTCAGGGCGCTTGAGCCGCACGGCACATCCATCCTTGAGGAGCACTGGGCCGCCGGCCGAGATGCAGTGCGGACACTCAGCGAAGAGCTGACAGACCTCGACGACGAGGACTTTAAGGACATTGGCATCGACATTGATGATGCCGTGGCGGCTGCGGTGATGGACACGGAAGAGCCAAGAGACGCGTCGAGCACCAAGAACAAGACGGCGAATAGACTACCAAAGAAACGAAGACCGACTAGACGGCGATAGGGTCGCGAATATGGGATGATTTAAGCCAAGAGGGAATTGGGTGGGAGAGATGCACTTTCATGCGGAATTGCTGCTGCACTGTTGTTCCTCTTCCACTCTCCGTTTTTTGTTTTATCAAATCCTGATTTTGTTTTGCAGCTGAGCGCTTTTATGACGAAGCATCAGTTTATAAGGCTTTGGCGTTGGGAGGGACAGCAGCATTGCTTTTTATTGTTTCTATTCTTTTCTATTGATACACCCAGTAATTCGGCCTCGTTATTTGTCCGTTTTCTTCTTCTTCTTCTTTTTCTTCTTCACTTTCTTCTTTCTACTTCTGTTCTTTTTTTTCACGTCTTTTTTATTTCCTGTTTTCTTTTCCAGTTTCCTTGGAGGAACGAAAGGGCGAATGACTGCCAGGGCCGGGCAAGGCGGAGGGCGTTGTTTTTGCGAGCTAGGAATGGGTAATGCCCTGGATCAATGATAATCGGGCGGACAATGGTGCAACTTATGTGTAGGATTAACGTATTCAATGGCTCCGATACAAATGTGTATAATTTGGTATTCCCAAATGCTTGTGCTTGAAGCGGCCACTTCCTGCTTGGAGCTGTGATACGAGGCGAGGCTGCGCAAGGCGCTGATCTGATAGGACGGCAAAGTACCGCCTAACCAGGACTTTTCCGGACGGGAGTCATCTGCTGCCAAGCTAAAGGCTCTGCGGGGTGGCGGGGTTGACAGCAGCATGTACTCGTACTTCTACAGCACGGTAGAGCCTCCATCAATGGGAAAAGTTACATTGCGATAGCAGCAAATAACGTTTAGGTCGGGGTTCTATTTTTGCGGCTGACTGTCACTTTTCACGGCCTGAGGGTTCAAGGGCTTTTATGGTTTAGGCATGGGCTGATGGGAAAAAAACAGAGCTCGCAGCCATGTCGACTAGACAAATACAGTGAGAACTTAGTACTACCCTGCTGCCTCCGTCCGCTGCAGAAGGGGGGAGGGATGGCACCAGATGAAAAAAAATCAGAAAAAGAAAAAAGGAAAAAAAATAGGAACGAGGCGGAATTGCGGGACTACGGACGAACGATTCTATTGGCCGATGGGGGAGAATCCCAAGTTTCGAGTGTGCTCCAGTGACTTTTTCCAGATGGGGGGTCGGAGGTTGGAACGGGGGGGGATAAGAGAGGGAGAGGAGAGGAAAAAAGAGGCGATGCGGAGACGGTGCCCCGGTGCCGGACTCGTCAGCAGCGTGATGAGGCGAGAAGCTAGGAAAGCAGGAGTAGCCATTGCGCGAGCATCTGATTTGGGGCGACTTGGTTTCGAAAATCAGCAGCAACAGGGGGTGGGAGGAGAGAGGAATCGACGCATCACAAAATACTATGCAGTAGCTAGCTGTATGAGTGTGTGTGTTTTTGGGAAGCCCCCCCTGGTGGTGATATCCGGATCGAGCATCTGGTGATGTTGCTATTTTTTTTGGTGTTTTTTTGGTGTTTTTTTTTTTTTTTTCTTTTTTTTTTTTTCTTCTTCTTCTTTGTGGGTTTCGCTTTTTTTTCCCTTTCTTTTCTTTGCCCAAATGAAGAAACAAAGGAAAGCAAGACGCCTGCGATGCGATACGAAACGAGGGTGCTTTTAGGTTAGAGGCGCTGACTCCCGCCTAGCTCTAGGCTGTCCATTGGATTGGACGGGAAAGGGCGCGAAGCTAGCTGAAAGACGAACAGCTGCACGAATAGTAAATAAATAAATAAAATAAAATAAAATCAATAAATCAATAAATAAACTAGAAAGGGGGGTGATGGGCGGATGAGGCGAAAAAACAGAAAATCTTGGCCTTGGTCGTATTGTTGGTGGTGAACAACTCAATAACCTGTTTAGACGCTGAGCCGACAAGAGAGGAGGGGTGGACAGGAACCAAGGCAGCTGGAAAAAAGGGCCAATTCGCCCCGTTAGCCTCGATTTGGACATATCTGATGCCCACAGCTTTCAGGGAAGAGCGCCGCTGTAGAGGGGCAGTGCCGAATCGGCTGGGCTTTGACGGGCGCCGCGTCTTCTCGTGTGTTGCGTACTGTATTGATACACGCTGTACGAGTACTCGACCAGTACTGCCTGTATCAGGTATCTTTCGACGCTGGTTGTTCGTACGAATATGAGCGAGCAATCGGACAGGGCAGGCGGGCAGCATGTCAGGTCAAAGCGTCCGTCTGCCATAAGTCCCAGGATGCGAGCTTAGTCTTATTATTTCAATTTTCTCATCTCAATTTTCTTATTTTTTTTCTCGCTCACGACAAGCTTACCTGGACCTGGAACCTGGCCCGGCCCAGGAGGGAAAACTAAGTTCGGCGAGGAGGGGGCCGCTAGCAGGCCGCTTCAGAGCCTGGACACGGGCGTTTTCTTGGGGGGGGGGGGGGGGGGGGGGGGGGGGTCCCTGTCCCGGTGCATTCCATTCGACTCCTGAGTGAAGACGGACTGGAGGGTTTTTGTTTGAGGGCTGATGCAGAATAAGGTACCTACCTAAGAGCACTGAGGTATACGAAGGTACTTGTAGCACGTGGAAGCATGGTGATATTTGCGTGCATTGTCGTGCAGAGATGGGCAGATACCAGATTTTGATACATGTAGATAGGCAGGTAGCACAGACTGGACGATGGGAGGTTTGGTCGGGTCAAGGTGCCTTATCATCAATGGAACTGATGGCGATGGATGCGCTGTATTACAGGCCATGGCGCCCCGTCGCCAGCGGAGGCCACCTTGCTGCGTCCAGCGAGGCCAAGCGCCGCCCCAGCACAAAACCCACTCTTCCCTTCTTTTTCGCCTGGGGAGGGAAAAAAAAGCTTGCCTCTTCTCTTCTCTCTCCCACCACACAAAAGCGACCCCGTCAACTCGACGATCTCCCCAAAAAGACGACCTCTTTTTGCCAACGACGACCGACGATAGCCATCATCGTCCATCCACCTGTCATCCATCCCACGGTTCTGCAACGGCTGCCCGTTTGACGGGACTATCCAGACGCGACGACAACGGGCTTTTGTTTGGCTGCGCCCACAGCAAAAGAGACTGGACGGACGAGACGAGGCACACGAACGCCCCGAGGCCATCCCCATCCCCATCCACGTACTAGACCAACCCAGCGACGAGCCCTTTTTGAGGCCACCCCAAACGGCGATTTAGAAATCACCCACGACCGGCTGCATCTCCCCAGCGGCTTTATTTTATTTCGTTTATTTTAACGACCCATCAGTCCAGAGAGCAAGCCCATCGCGCGTTAGAACCGCTGCGCCCTCTCTTAGTTTTTTTCCCTCTCGCGTTGGTTCTCAAGCCATTTGCCCGCATTGTGAGTCTTCGCCCTTTTTTTCCCCACCTCGCAACGGGCTCGCTCTCGTTCTACTCCTCGGCATCGAAAAACGCAACCATCCTGCCGGCGATTGTCTCCTCCCCCTCATTTTTGACGAGAGAAAGAGAGATGGAGAGGGAAAAGGGCGTCAATGATGAATCACTACAGCGGCAATCGTCCTTGGATGGCCGGATTGGGATCGCTCCTGTCATCGGGATGATGGTCTGATCACCATCACGCCCTTTTTCCCGCTTGCTCTTCTTTTTTTCGACTTGGGACGGAAGCAAACTCCCTTCGATGACTAAACCCAAAACCATTGATGATTCTCGTCTTTTCTTCTTCTTCTAACGCTCGATGACAGGATTATCTCTCAATTTCCCAAGTGCATATTGTCTAGTGTATCATCGTCTGTCGTACTGCTTTCTTTTTCCTACTCGAGGGCCGCATCATTTTGCGCATCGGCCTGCTTCTAGCACGCCCTCCCTTTCTCTTCTCCCGCGATTTCTTTGACGCGCAGCCTTTCTCGGCTTATTCATTCGATATACACGAACCGTCCCTCCCACGGGGAGCATCTATAAGATGGCTGACCAACACGAGGTCGATCTCGATTCTATAATTGACCGGTTGCTCGAGGTCCGAGGCAGCCGGCCCGGAAAGCAGGTCCAGCTTCTTGAGACTGAGATTCGCTTCCTGTGCACTAAGGCTCGCGAGATTTTCATTTCTCAGCCCATTCTCCTGGAGCTAGAGGCTCCCATCAAGGTAGGCTCATGTTGCTGCCATACCCCTGAAGGGGTAGGCGTTGACGTAGTAGTGTGATGCTTACTCGATACTTGACAGATCTGCGGTGATATCCACGGCCAGTACTATGATCTTCTGCGTTTGTTCGAGTATGGCGGCTTCCCCCCCGAGGCCAACTACCTCTTCCTAGGCGACTACGTCGATCGTGGCAAGCAGTCCCTCGAGACCATCTGCCTGCTCCTCGCCTACAAGATCAAGTACCCCGAGAACTTCTTCATTCTCCGTGGCAACCACGAGTGCGCCTCCATCAACCGTATCTACGGCTTCTACGATGAGTGCAAGCGACGCTACAACATCAAGCTTTGGAAGACATTCACCGACTGCTTCAACTGCTTACCCATCGCCGCCATCATTGACGAGAAGATTTTCACCATGCACGGAGGTCTCAGTCCCGATCTGAACTCGATGGAGCAGATTCGTCGCGTCATGCGCCCCACTGATGTACGTGCCTCCTCTCTCTCTCACCATCTCTTTCCACCAGCAGAATACTCTGCTCCAACAAAGAGTGGCGCAAGCTCTAGTCGCTAGGACCAACTGCTAACCTCTTCATACCTTTAGATTCCCGATTGTGGACTGCTGTGTGATCTTCTGTGGTCCGATCCCGACAAGGATATTACCGGCTGGAGCGAAAACGACCGTGGTGTGTCCTTCACCTTTGGTCCGGACGTGGTGTCTCGTTTCCTACAAAAGCACGACATGGACCTTATCTGCCGTGCTCACCAGGTTGTGGAAGATGGCTATGAATTCTTCTCCAAGCGTCAACTCGTCACCCTGTTTAGTGCACCCAACTACTGTGGCGAATTCGACAACGCAGGTGCCATGATGAGCGTAGATGAGAGCTTGCTCTGCTCGTTCCAGGTTTGTGCAACCCAGTCGAAGGCCTCCCAAACGACCTCACCGTTGGGAGAGCTTTCTTTTTTTTTTTTTTCTTCTTCGGGCCTCGGCTAACCTTTACTCTTTTCCTTTGTTTAGATTCTTAAGCCTGCTGAGAAGAAACAAAAGTATGTGCACGCCTTATCCCTCGACTGTGAAGAAAGAATTGGCTTTGCTAACATTGATTCCTTTTCAGGTTCGGACGGCGTTAAATCAGCGGGATGACCTTGCTCGGTCTCCCTGGGCCGAGCACGATGCATCTCGACGACTCAACACCGCCGACTTTTCTTTTTGACTCTCCGACTCTCTTCATACTCTGCAACCTCTTACGTCGCACCGTCGCTGGGCCCTGGTGGCGAGAACGGGTTGCTTGGAGAACTACACGCCGAGCCCTTCCTGCATTAATGTACCGACTCGGCGGTTAGCTCGCATCGCCTCTAATGTCCCAACATGCAAACTTCGTCACGACAAATGGCTGTTTCTTAGCTTCACAGATCAAATCATTCACAGAAAAAAATACATCATGATGTCACTTTAAACTTTGCTGTCCAGTACCTTTAGGAACCTTTATTTGAGGAGAGCCTCTCTGGGCGTGCCGTGTGAATGATATGACGTAGCCGTACTCTAGTCCCTAAAGGATGGTTCTGCCTGTTGTGTAACCTGCATTTTGATCCATGAGGCTTGGAAGGAATGGGGCGGTTCATAGGTATCCATGCTTTGTATCTCTACCACGATAATGGCTGAACGCACGGGTCCTCGAAGAGATACAAGTGACAAAGTAGTGGATAATGTCCATACTTTATGTCCCATGATGCGAGGGCTTCCAGAAGAGCACTAGAAAGTGACAATGCTACGTCAATATTCCATCGCGGCGTCACTTGTTCTTTGTATCTTGCTCATGAAAATTCTTATTTGCACGCATAGCTTTTTTGCTTCTTCATTCGTTCACACATAAGCCCTATTCCACGCCTCCCTCCATCCCTGACGGTCCCCCCTTTTAAGTGCAGTCTTCGCATACAATGGCTGACGAAGTTTTGTCCTGATCCTTGTCCTGTTTCGCTGGCTCTTCCGCAGCGGGAGCAGCAGTCTCGGTAGCTTTAGCAGTCTCCGGCGCAGCGCGATGGTCCCGGTCGACGTGGCCGAGATCGCGGGATGGATCGATGACGTCCCTGACGCGGCGCTTGAGCTCCTTTGTCTCCGGGAAGCCGCCGTCTGTTTTGCGGTCCCAGAGGGTTGTGGATTGGAGGGAGGCGGTAGTAGAAGAAGAGGATGATGATGGGGGGAGGTGGTGGATTGTGACGATGAAGGTTCCGCCGGTGGAGGGCTGGAGGGCGACTTCGCCGAGGGAGAGGGAGAATGTGGAGAGGAGTTCTTGGGCGAACTGTGAGGGTTTTGTGTTAGTTTTTGGTGATGTTGAGGGAGAGTGTGTGAGTGAGGAGGGGTGAAGTGTTTTGGTAGAATACTTGTAGCTGTAGAATGGAAAGGGAGAGACGTGATGGTAGAAGTGGAGATGATTGGGGCAAAGTTGGATGAGGAAGAATGAGACGTACATAGGCAGCTCGCAGCATCCATTTACACTGAGTGCAAAACTGGATGGTTATGCGTGGCAGGGGAGCCGTGACGGCGGCGTGTTGCAGCGGCTGTGATGCCGTTGGTGTAGAGGTAGCCATGGCCGCCGCTCTTTAATCTTATTTTATTCAAAAGAATGAAATATACAACTAGCTGCGAGTGAAAAAGCAACAACAAAATACTTGACGTGTTGAGAGTATCGGCGTTTCGGTGATCGTGTGAGTTGCCCCAAGATCCCGAGGCGAATGATGAGAACGGAGTACTAAGCTTCGGAGTCCGGTTCGGGCGGTGGTTTGTTTTTGTGGAGAATGTTGGTGCTTGCTTTTTTGATTACCTAGGATTGAGCGACTTTTGTCTTTTTTCTCCGTGATGAGTATATCGTTGAAGCTGTTGATGAGTTGTTTAGATTGCTAAAAATGCAGACTATATAGACTACCAAGTAATATGTACATGTAATTGGTCTCCCGTATTGTATAAAACGCATGTTATTGCGGCCTTGATATTGGCAATGTTCCCCTCCATGACCTCACGTGCATATGTACATGTATTAGACCCAGAGTCCAATCAGGGTTGCCAAGCCAGCTTCATTAATGAGCGAGGTCTGTCGTTTTCAGCAGATCAATGCTTTATAATTGGAAGCATACGAGTACACTTCCGTTCTCTGCAATGCTGTTGTGGTTCTGACCTTTGCGGTCTTGTTAGTGGCGTTGTTGGGCGCGCAATCGGAGGCTGCGGATGCTCTATGACTCAGCACACTTGAAGTTTTGCGCTCTCTTATTTCTATCCTCATTCTCGCGGTAGGAGAAAATAAAAATAAAAAATAAAAAATACAAAGGGCGGCCAGACGAAGACGAAAATTGGCATATTCATTGCCCAATTGTGAGAGACATGGCAGTCCCAGCCCCAGACCCAACCATTGATCTCCGTTGGGGAGATTATCGCGGAGGTACGACTTGACATTGTGATGTGCTTCTTTCTTCCTTATTGGGAACAACCGACTTACCTATACTCCGTACTCATTGTAGCAATCCACGAGATATTTGCACAGAATGCGAAAAAGTTCCCTGACAGAGAATGTGTTGTTGAAACCAAGGGCTCACAATCCAATGGGCGCACTTTTACATATCGCCAGATCAATGAGAGCGCTAACCTACTAGCACACCACTTCTTGAGCCATGGATGCAACGTTGGAGATGTTGTCATGATATACGCATATCGAGGGTTGGTGCTCCCTATTATTATTATTTTTTTATTGAATTGCCTGCGATCGCTAACCAACTTCTTGGATATAGAGTCGAGCTCGTGGTGGCCTACATGGGTGCTCTCAAAGCCGGTGCAACGGTCAGCGTTATAGATCCCCAGTATCCTCCCGAGCGCCAAAAAGTGCTCCTGGACGTTGCAAAGCCTAGATTCCTCGTCTGCATCCAAAAGGCGACTGAGGAATCCGGCCCGCCTTCTGACCTCGTCATGCAATTTGTCTCGACCGAGTTGAACCTCAAGTCGACCATTCCAGCCCTCGAGCTATCCGCCAACGGAGAGCTCAAAGGAGGCATTGTTGATGGCAAGGATTGTCTTGATGCCTCGGTCTACAGCAGAGAGGACCCTACCAATGTTCTCATTGGGCCAGACTCCATTCCCACTTTGAGTTTTACCAGTGGATCAGAAGGAAGGCCAAAGGTGAGTCTTTTCATTCATATAGAACCATTGCTCTGTCGAGATGATGGCATATCCCCCCCGGCTTGGCAGACTCAAACCCAAAAGAGTTCATTAACAATTAAATAGGGTGTCCAAGGCCGCCACTTCTCTTTGACTCACTACACGCCTTGGATGGCAGAGAGATTTGGTCTCTCGGATCAAGACAGGTTCACGATGCTCTCTGGAATTGCCCACGATCCAATCCAAGTGAGTCTCCGCCCAATCTTGATCTTAATGCCTACATATATGGGAAAGACCTAACGCCTGCGCAATGGCATTAGAGAGACATCTTTACGCCACTCTTTCTCGGCGCCAAAATCATCATCCCCCCAGCAGATGTGATTGCTTACGAGCTCCTGGCCGAATGGATGGGACAGAACCGTATCACCGTTACCCACCTGACCCCCGCCATGGGCCAGATTCTTGTTGGAGGCGCTACCGCTCAGATTTCCTCCCTGCGGAATGCCTATTTCGTGGGTGATTTGCTAACAAAGAAGGATACGACTAAGTTGCGCAACCTGGCGCCTAATACTCGTGTCATCAATCTCTACGGGTCGACAGAATCGCAACGGGCCGTGTCTTACTTTGAGATTCCGAGCAAGGCACTGGAGCCCCTATTCCTAGATAATCTACCGGACATCATTCCGGTTGGCCAGGGCATGCAGGGAGTTCAGCTCTTGGTCGTAGACCGCGAGGATAAGAACCGACTATGTGAAGTTGGTGAGCAAGGAGAGCTGTTTATTCGAGCAGGCGGACTCTCAGAGGTAATCACTGGAAGCTGTTTGGGAAGACGCTCAAAAAAGAGGCAATAGCTAACACGGAGATGTATGTTAGGGCTACCTGGGGAATGACGAAAAAACCACAGAATTGAACAAGTCCAAGTTTCTCCTCAACTGGTTTGTTGACCCGGCCGTATGGGCTCAGCAGGACAACCAAGCGAGTGCCGCCGAGGCTTACAAGCCATGGGGTTATAAGGGGCCGCGAGATCGCCTGTACAAGACCGGCGACCTTGGCCGACGCCGCGAAGATGGAAGTGTAGAGTGTACGGGGAGAATCGACGCCCAAGTCAAGATCCGCGGCTTCCGAATCGAGTTGGGGGAAATCGATACACACCTCTCACAGCACCCGTATGTTCGCGAAAACGTCACTCTGGTCCGAAGAGACAAGGACGAGGAGCATACGCTCGTCACATATTTCGTTCCCGAGACGAAGCGCTGGTTCGAACACGCTGAAAAGGAGGATGGAGAACTGGAACCGGATTCACAAGATGAGTCGATGGGTCAGATGCTTCGGCGGTTCAGGTCACTTTCCGAAGACTGCAAGAAGTTTCTTGCTGCCAGAGTCCCTAAATATGCCGTTCCTAGCCTTTTTATTCCTTTGGCTCGGATGCCATTGAGTAAATCCCCCTCCCTTCCTTCAAGTTCAGCCAATTACTGACAATTCAATTTCTGAAAGATCCCAATGGAAAGATAGACAGACCTGCGCTCCCATTCCCTGACGCAGCGGACCTCGTCTTCCTCGCGAAGCGACGAGCCTCGTCCACTGTCGTCAACTTGACACAGACACAGACTCGCCTGGCTTCGATATGGGCCTCTGTGCTTCCAAACACCTCAGCACGAATGCTTAGACCGCAATCCAACTTCTTCGAAGAAGGAGGGCACTCTATCCTTGCGCAGCAAATGTTTTTCGCCGTTACCAAGGAATGGAAGGACATCAACCTGCCCATAAGAGTGATTTTCCAATCCCAGACTCTCGAGGCTCTTGCCTCTGAGATCGATCGTGCCCAGGACCCCATCGGCCTGCGTCTCGATGCAATGCCTCTTGAGGCAGACAAGAATGTCGGGGACGAGGCGTACGCGACCGACGCAAGAGACCTCACAAGCCAAATCCCAAAGTCCATTTCCACGGCAGAATCAAGCTGGGACTTTGCAGCCACCACACCCCGAGTGCTCCTGACCGGCGCCACCGGCTTTTTAGGTTCATATATTGTGCGCGAGTTGCTCGAAGGCCCTACCAAGGCACATGTTATCGCTCACGTACGAGCAAAGGATTCAGCGGATGGTCTCGCTCGATTAGAGAAGGTGATGACAGCCTACGGTCTATGGTCTCCAGCGTGGACAGCTTCGTCCAGGCTTGAAGTCGTGGTGGGAGACATCAGCAAGCCGCAGCTAGGCCTTTCCCAGGACATCTGGGATCGCCTTTGCAACGAGGTTGATGCCGTCATCCACAATGGCGCCCAGGTCAACTGGATGCTGCCATACTCGAGCCTTCGGTCAGCCAACGTGCTCAGCACACTGGCCTGCATTCAGCTCTGTGTTACTGGAAAGGCCAAGAGACTCTCATTCGTCAGCTCAACCTCGACACTGGACAACGACCATTACGTCGAACTCACTAGCAAGTCCGGGGCTTTCGTGATGGAGGCGGACGATCTAGAGGGTAGTCGTAAGGGCCTTGCCACGGGCTATGGGCAGTCCAAGTGGGCAAGCGAGCTCCTTGTTCGCGAGGCTGGGCGTCGAGGCCTGGCTGGTGCCGTTATCCGTCCTGGCTATATCACGGCCGATCCAAGATCCGGCATTTCAGTCACAGATGACTTCCTAGTCCGGCTATGGAAGGGATCTTTGCAGGTAGGTGGGCGCCCAGATATTGCAAATTCACTCAACGCCGTCCCTGTCACGCAGGTCAGTCGTATTGTGGTTGCTTCCGCATTCCACCTCTCTGCGGCAACCGGACAATCCGTGGCCGTAGCACAGGTGACCGGCCACCCGCGTATGACGCTTAATGACTGGATTGGTGCCCTTGAGGTGTTTGGGTATGAGGTGCCGAAGATCCCTTACCCCGATTGGTCTGCAAAGGTCAAGGGGTATGTCGGCGACGATACCAAGGAGGAGCCTCATGCTCTGCTCCCTCTCTTCCACTTCGTCGTGGGAGACTTGCCCGGGAACTCCATTGCGCCAGAGCTAGACGACGCCAATGCCATGGCCGCCTTGAAGCTCTACGACGGGTCTGCTGTTGGATCCTCTAGCACTTTGGATGTACAGGCTCTGGGCACATACTTGGCGTATCTGGTTGCTATTGGGTTCCTCCCTCCCCCTCCAGCCGGGAACAGCGGTACCCCATTGCCAAAGCTGGACATGGCTTCGTCTCAGGTTTTGGCTGCCAGTCAGTTTGGCGGCAGATCTGCGAAGCCGTAAAAGCACTCCAAAAAGGAGGGTGAACATATTGTATTATAGCCATAACAGAGGACAAGAAAAGGAATCCGGGCTGGTGGAGACAAAAACGGTGACTGGTAGCATTCTCAGAAAAGAAATAAAAGGGAAAGAATTGAAATGAAAAGAGGCTTTCACTGGCTCTTGATACTGCCGTTATTAGGTCATTTGATTGTGTTGTGCCCATCCCGCGCCAGAATAATACGAATCCATGATGTTAATGGCGAGATGGTTTGGTTTAAGCACAAGACCATTTCAAAGCCAGGCTGCTAACGGCAATATCCCTCCTCATGACCTCACGTGCACACACATAATACAGACGCACCAAATCAAAAACACCACACAATAGCAGCACAAACAAACAAAAACCGGTTCTTTTGAATGACAATTCAACGCGTCTCTTGTTAAAATCATCTGATTTCAATTAATTATCCTGAATTGCCGCATTCTGCTGGCTGCTAGGCATTCTAAACACGCATTGACAAGGTATAGGGTATCTCTGCTAAGCTCTCTCCACAACCAGTTATCGAGTGTTATTTCAATCACATTTCCATGTCAATTCAGAATCCAGCCGTCAAATTGTCTACGTATAACACAGCGACATTATACATCAGCATCCTCAGCAGCTCTCCAGACAAACCACCTTCACACAACACCATCCAAACGGAAATTAAAAAAAAAACCCTCTCCCTCACCTCATGCACTCACACCAGAATCCATCATTTCCCCTCCTAATGCACGGAAAGAAACATGGAATCAACGTAGAAGAGAGAAATATAACGTATACAGGGGAGCCACTCGATTGAACAAGAAAGGACATATAGAGAAATCGGGAATTAATACATGCTAAAAGGGGCCGGCCTCCCCCCAAAAAAGAAGACCGTAGACCCCTTTATCTGGATATCTCTCTTTCCTCCCCCTTCCTGCCTAGAAGAAACCGCTCGACTGCTTTATTAAAAAGTAAGAGAGAGCTTAAGTAAAAAAAAAGAAAAAATAAACTCGTAGAGAAAAAGCAGAGCGTGGGGGCCTTCCTCGGTCACAGATAACCTTTGCTTCCTCCTCCCCCATCGCCTCCCCCACTCCCTAGCGTTGATATAATCATTGAGACTGTGTCGATCCAGCTCGGAGTCCCGTTCTAGTTTCTCGTAAAGACTTTCCGGACCATGTGTTTAATGTTTGAATGGTGTGTCGGCGTGACGAATTCGTTGCTCGCTGCCTGATTCCAGCTGCGTGGCGTTGTAAAATAAAGAGAGAGAGAGATGGAGAGAGAGAAAAAATAACCCATATCGCACACAAGGGGAAAAAAAAGGTCCCGCGCCAAGAGTTCCTCCCAACTAAATCATCATCGATAGTCGTTCCTCCACGTCTTGGGAAACGGAATTACATGACGACACAGCAGCCGCCGGATTGCTGGGGTGCATAGGGATCCTCGCCCTTTGGTACGGTTCCCCATACCGAAGGAACCATATAGTCTCTCGTACCATTGCAGTACGCGATAATGCTGCAGCCGTCGCGTTAGCCTAGAGTCCCCTGTTGGGCAGTGGTCATGATGCGTCTTTTAGCTCTTACCTCTTGGAGGCGGTGCTGACGGGGATGCGTTCCCGGTCCAAATCCTCGCGTAGTCTGTTGTTGAGCTCCGTTAGGCGCCTAAGCTTGAGGTCTGCCATTGACTGCTTCGTCTTCTTAATCTGAGTCGGGTCGCCGACATCACGGGAGGTGTACTGAGGCATCGTAACGGTACGTTAAATAAAAGGAATGACTATAGAGTTGGATTTGACCGGGGTCGGATTAAATGGCTCGCAGAGTCGTCAGCCGGGACGATTGATTGTGTTGACCGAGTGGCGCGAGAACTGCCTGCAGCTGCCTGGTTAGCCTCAATTCCATCTAGGTAGTGTCGCCCCCAATCGATTGCTCCAGTAGATGCACGGTGCTAAATGAGAATGGACGAGAATTGCAGAGATCAATCTGAGACGTATGGAAAAGGACGTCGTCTTGTTTGCTGCAGTCACGCTGGCGCGACGGTGATGACGGCCCGGGAGACGCAGTGCAACGAATGGACACAAGATTAACAGCGCGAGACGATGCAAGAATCGGCAAATGTGGAGAGGGACGATTCGCCTCACTCCTGTTGGATCGCGATCGCCTGCTGGTGATAGAGGACAGGGGAAAAACAATGCCAGCTTCTCGGAATCCCCCCCCTTTTCGCTCGTGTCGATGCACTCGTCTCTGTGCAATTGATCCATCTCCATGCCATCCGGCGTCGTGTCTGCCGGAGCTTCGACATCTCCTCTTCCTCCCCCCTAGACCATATCGCGCACTGCAACAACAAGGACGACACGAAAAACGACCAAAGACTTACCAAACTGTCGTTGAAACCCTCTTGATTCGGTCGCGAGATACAGCGACGACACACAGGCTCCAATATGGGGTTGAGAGGAGGGGGTTTGGTCGCGAAGGCGAGACGTGCGTTACGTGTATGTGTGTGTGAGTGAGAAAACGAGAGAGGCCCAAGAGAGTGAGAGCGGGTTGGAAAGCCTGGAGAAGAGAGTTGGAAGAATCCGCCACACGCCAGACGAGATTGATCCAAGCAAGCGTCTGGCGGGCTGCTGCCGGCGGATAATTAGCAGTGGGAACTGCTGTAACTGGCCGCCGCTCCTCCTGTAGGGGGCTTCTTGGGCTGGCTGGGGGCTTTTTTTTTTCTCGGCTGGGGGGGGCCCTTTTGGCGGGAAGCCGGGTGGGACGTGCGCGGCGCTGGAAATTGGCATGACAGGGGGCTCAGGCGCACCAAAAAGCGCGGATTTGCTCCAGGATTTGGCGCGGTGGGACGGGGTGCTTTGCTTCATGTAACGTGCGAGTGACCTGCGCTCGGCTGCGGCCATGTACCCCTTACCGTAGGTACGAGCACTAGCTGGCTTAGCACAGCTTAGCACAGCTTAGCACAGCTCTAGCACGGCTCCAGCACCCAGTTACGGCGTACGCTACTGCACTGCTGCACTTGCCGGGCCTTCTAGTGCTGCATCCCAGGCAGTAATATTGCATTGATGGATTCCCAAGAAGAGGTACCTGGGGTTAGCAGGTACAGTACAGTGGATTATTACGTGCACTGACGGGCTCTATCAGTAGCGGTACATACAAGTAGTACCTCTTGAGGCAAGGGATGGAGAATTGTCCATCATTAGTGCACAAGTCTGGGCGAGCACTCGTATACTGGTATCAGCGATAGATACAAAAGTACTACAAGTATATGTTCGTACAATCATCGTGTGGTTATTAGTGGTTTCTTCTTTACCTGACTCCGAGGCAGATTCCATACTCGTACCCCTCATACAGGTTTGGTACATGTACCTTTGCTGATGGAATCTACAAAGCCTTCTCGTGCGCCGAGGTACCTTGCCATATACGAGTACCGTACCAACGCAAAACAAAGGAGGCCCTTTTTTTTTTTCCCTTTTCCTCTCAGTCCGCATCAAGCTTAGACTACGTCTGGCCTAGCCTCACTGCCATTTCCGGCCACCAGACCAGCAGGAGAGGATCCATCAACCCTGCTGCTGGTACTGATTAATGGGAATCCAATCTTACAGGTACATGCAGTTCCATACGAAGTCCATGTACTGTACCCGCGGATGCGACGCATCGCGTCAGCACTCGACAGCGAAATCAATCTCAGAAACCACTTGTTGGCCTGACCATTGTCGAGCGGTTCGTGATTGCTGCTTGACCAGTCCTTTCCCACGGATCCGGAAACGGAAGATGCGATCGCCGTCACGTCATTCCATCAGGCACGGTACGAGCACGGGGGCCAACGAACGAGTCCGCGTACCCATGAAAATGCAACTCCGTACTGTACATACTGGTAGAAGTACCTTACCTTCAGCTCCCCGTGGCTTTTGCTTTAAATTACACGTACGATGCTGGCATTACCTCATCCCATCTCCAATTGTACGGAGTACTGCATGTACAGTATTATTACCTGCCACTACCGGTACTAATTCTTCAGGTGCCGCTGCGGAATGTTCGGTACTGTCTGGTGGCTTCCAAGTCATTTGATGTTCTGTATTTATCTCGCCAACGAGTGTCTCAATAAGGATGTGGCTTGTCTCTTGAGCCCTCCATCTTGTCAGAGGCATCCCAGGTCCAACTGCAAAGCACAGCACCGCTACGCCAACTTGGCCAAGAGTTTGCTAACGATAAATCGGTTTGCTGGATTGTCCTCGCTGTTTGACGTTTGCCGCACTGATACTCCGGGTCCACATTTAACTCTGTCAGCTTAGATACTACCGACCATAATTACGAGTGCACAGTCATGAGCACTCAATACCAATTTTACGACAATTACGGTGGGCTCATCGGCTATCCTTGATTGACAAAGCGTGCCGTTGCATTGCATGCAATGATACATCAGCTGCAAACTTTGCCAAGAACCTACCATTACACGGCATAGAAAGCGGTTTGCCTCTCTACAGCCGTTGCTACTGTATCTGGTACCCGTCAGTAAGCATCCCAAATACACGCCGAGGTTCTACGTACAGGAGTAAGAGCAGATGTGATATTCCAATACGGAGCATACGGGCCAAACAAAAACATCTTCCTCAATCACCAGTGTCAACCTCGAGATCCAGCTGTACTCCATTCGAAATGCCATAGTCCTCCAATGTGATGTGATCCTTAAAAGGCCGTTCGCCCTGCCGTCTCAGCATAATCTGTCCCGCCTCTCGTCCAATGCGCGCCGCAATCATGAGCTTAAACTGTCCAACTGTGTCCGAAGGCAAACATGGAATGGCTGATTTAGTGCCCAGGCGGTCGTTGACATGAACAATGATGAATTCCTGTCCCACCGCAACGGCAGCTTTCGGAGCCTTTGTTTCTTTCTTCTCCTTCTTGTCATCTCTCTTCGCTTTGTCGCCCATGTCTTTTGTTCCGGAGCCGTGTCGTCTAGGGGATCGCGATCTTTGACGGCCCTCGTATCGGTCACGGTCACGATCCCGCGAGCGATCGCGGTAATCACGTCGTCGCTCTCCATAATCGCGGCCACGATCTCGGTCTCGATCTCTTTCTCGGTCTCGGTCTCGGTCTGCATATCGGTCTCTTCTCGAATCATAGCTGCGGTGGGTGTCGTCATTTGGGCGGCTTTTATCTTTCCACCGAAACCCGCCACTGCCCTTTGGCGCCTTCCGCGGAGGTGATCGCGATCGCGATCTTCGCGAGGAAGATTCCATGGTTGATGTTGATGTTTGAATACAGATTTTGCAGGCGCTGGTTACTGCAGCTACACACTTGGTGTCATCGGCAAATAATCGGGTAATTATGGAGACTGTTTTAGCTGGAGATCGTTTTTGCATCCTCGTCATATATAGGCCTACGAAATCTTGATGCTTCCAAAGTTCTGCCGCTAATGATCTCTTCTAGGGATTTCTAAAAGTATCTCGAATTTTCTAGGCGTTTGCAGAAGTAAAAGAAAATGGGTTGTGAATTGTGTTGGAATTTGGACCCACGACTTCGTAGTACATACTCCGCATATAACTTTTAACTAACACAACTTACGCTGCTATTGATTCATCATTGCGCCATTACAGTGGGATACAATTGCTAGGTGCTGTAATTTAGGCTCTATAAGTATTCATGTAAGTATATAACTAGATAAATTGAATTGAAGTTATACACACAACCGTCGAGAGCCGGTCGCTACGTAGTATCGTGTCGTTAGGGGCGTATGGAGAGTCGCGACGTCGGCGGTCGCAACAGGCTGGGGCGGATATAGATATACGAAATGAGCATGTTGATTTTTGTCTGGCCTCTGAAGAGGTACCTAACTACCTCTAGGTACTGCGTTAGGTAGTAGGTACTAACCTTCCATAGTAATATCTCGAGGTATACGGGTAGCTACCTACGACCTACCTCATAGAGGCCATGTAACCTCACAGCCACGATAATTGCGTTTACTGTAAGCTGCAAGCGCTAGAGCTGTACTCGTATAGCCAACTGGTAGGGAAGAATCAACGGGCAGCGATCTTGGTTGCATCCACGGTGGTCATGTGACTTTGCTCGAGAAGCAGTCTAACAAATCCGCGGCCGCTAAAGCGCCATGAGCCAAAAGCAGCACTAGCGGATTCGCGGCGCAAATTACTCAACCACTCCGTGCAAACAGTCCAGCATACGGAGTAGCATCTCACGAGTTGCCCTATCTCGTCTTGTCCACTCCGGACCGGGCCACGGTATTGTATTGGCCTACCGCGGTTTCGGATCCGGGAAATGATTGAGCCAAGGATCTTAATCATCACTTGCAGTTCTGGATCAATCGACGGCATCGATCTCGTGACTGTGAGCCTATCGTGAATTTTTTCCTGGCGAGGCTTACATACTCAGGAGCTGAATCACTAGGTGTTAGCACAATATTTGGTCGGGATATAAAGCACTCCTCCCCAGTGTACCAAGTTGTAAAAGTAGAATGCAGCTGCCGCCTCTTACCCATAGTACTATGTATGAGCATTTTCTCACATTTTTTTTTAAATACTTTTCAGCTCGAAATAAACAGCATCGGTCGCTGCTCAAGCTTCACTGCCAGCAAGATGGCTGAACTTACTCAAAGAACAATGCATGACATAAGCATACACGTGACATGGGTCGTTCCGCAGCCCCTCATGCTCGGATAGCGTCCACACACGAAATTGAAAAATTCCTCCCCGAGTGCGTCGCTTCACCACCAAGAGTGCCACGCCAGCGCCCCATCTCAACCATCCTCAGGCCTGCGACGGCTACTCATTGCCCCCGAATCTCCTTGTCCGGCTCACATCGATCCGTTGAGGAGGTTGCCCAGCATGGTGCGTACCACAGGCGTAGATGCGACTGACCGTCTTCTTGCCAGCCGCTACCCCTCCCCCATACAATCTCCAATTGATCCAGGTTGGGCCGTGATGCTGACTTTGCCTCCTTTCTCCAGCCGCCCCCGCCGCATCAAAAGCCCGAAAATGTCCTGAAGCGCGCCCACGAGCTCATCGGGGTCAACCAGGCCCCGACGGCCTTGACCCTGCTCCATGAACACATCACCAACAAGCGCTCCCGAAGCGCCGCCATCGCCTCTCTGGAGCCTGTTATGCTCCTGTTGGTGGAGCTCTCCGTCGAGCAGAAGAAGGGAAAGTTGGCCAAGGATGCCTTGTATCAGTACAAGAACTTGTCCCAGAACACCAACATTTCGACCATCGAGGTGGGTACAATACCGGCGTTGAAAGATGAAAAGGGGATGAAGAAAAAGAAAAGATCTTAACGTACTTGGATGGATTACTGACCCGCCCCACAGCTGGTCCTGAAAAAGTTCATCGAACTCGCCGTGGAGAAGGTTACTGCTGCCCAGCAAAAGGCCGATGAGGTTCAGTCTACCATTGAAGCTACGGCTGCCACCTCCAGCATCGACGATCTGGAAGCCAGCGAGACCCCCGAGTCCATCCTCCTCGCCACCGTCTCTGGAGAGCAGTCCCGTGACCGAA